ATTTCACTTCTAAATTGGACCATTCTTTAATGAGCACCCATGCTTTACTTCATTCAATGTACATTTTGTATAGTACAGAGAAATAAGAACTAAGTTCATATTTAACACAACATTCTTATATAACTATGTTTACCTATCTTTTCAGATATTCACTGAAATTTCTGAAAACAGATTCCCTATGTCTCACTTCCCCTTCCCCATCTTCCATCAACCTGGAGATTCCAGGAAGTTCATTCTGAGGCCATTAAATATAGGTAGTCCTCAACATACGACAATTGTGCCCAGAATTTATGTTGCTAAGTGAAACATTTATTAAGGGAGTTTTGTTCCATTTTACAACCTTTCTTGCCATAGTTGTTAAATGAATCATTGCAGTTGTTAAGTTAGTAACACAGTTAAGCGACTTTGGCTTCCCCATTGACCTTGTCAGAAGATTGTAAAAAGTTATCATGACCTCAGGACACTAACCGTCATAAATATGAGTCAGTTGCCAAACTTTTGAATTTTAATCACGTGACCAAGCGGTTGCTGCAATGGTTATAAGTATGAAAAAGGGTCATAAGTCATTTTTTCAGTGATGTTGTAACTTTGAACAGACACTAAATGAACAATTGTATGCTGAGGACTAAGTGTAGCCAGAACTCCAAACTTTTTTCCAGTCTTGTGTAGCAGCTGGTTGATATTGACAACAAGGCAACAAAGGTGTTTAATTTTCAAGGGCTGGAAAAAGTATCCTGTTTAAAGTGGTGAGAAAGTACAATTTTAGGTTAACCAAAGAACGACATTTTGTTAAAAATACTAAACTGACAGGTCACAAAGTTTTGGAAGTTCCAGAATTTACTTGCAAGAAACTTCAAGCTAGGTAATCCATATGCAATGGAAAATACTCCTTTTATATTTTTCTCCACTATATATATTGAAGTTGTATGGGGATACATACAGCTGTTTCAACTTCCCTTGGGATGATGCTATAGGGCATTGTATGCCAAGACTAGACACCAGGAGAGTCCTTCATGCCATCACTCTGCTGAACACGCAGCTGACCAAATGCAGCGGCTATTTTGGTCTAATGTATAACCCAGTATTATTATTTATCCCTTGTATTGGTTGCACACTTAGTACTATTATATTCTATTGTTGTGCAAGTATACTGAGTGCTTCTGTATCAGAGACAAATTCCTTGTAGGTCTAACAATACTTGATCAAATAAATAAAGTACAAAGTGAAGTTTAAACCTTACAAACTATATATTTGGGAACAATTATATGTCATTGGACTGAACATGGTTAAAATTTTATTAGGAATCTAACATATTAACACTATAATTAATTTCCAAACTATGGCAGCAGTGTCATCAAATGTTACTTGGAGTTCAGTAATATTCTGAAAGCACTCAATATCTATAGAATACATATACACATTTACCATCAATCCAACATTACTAAAATCTTCACTTCTGCATGCTTGCTCATTGACTGATAGATGCAGCTAGCTCTAGTTCAAAGAAGTATCTGGAAATAGGAAGCTGGCCTATGTTGTGCAAGTTCACTTAGTACCAAGCCATGGTTTGATTAAAAAAACAAGGGATGGACTCACACAACAAACTTAACCAGAACCAAGCAAACCATATTATGGATTTGCACAATTTGAAATTATTAATCCATCTAAACCAGCATTGTTGATAACTCTTATCAATGGATTCCAGAGATCCAACTTGGGAGCTTTGCCACGAAAAGCCTGTTCTCTGCTTTTGAGTTATAAACTTTTTTGGTCCGATTTGCAAGTAAGGTACATTTTTAATTATGAAGTCATTATATAAAGGGTTTGTATTAGATTAAACCAATAATCAAGAAGAATTTTTATCAATTCAATGACAAACATGTCTGAGATGAGGAACTCATCTAAAGGTACGTGAAGTAAAAGCTAGATAGTTCCCCACATCATAAAAACTAAGACTATAAATGCAAGGAAGAATATAACTACAGTTCTATTTCACAATTCCTTATTGCAAGTAAGTAACTTTAAAGATCCGATCTGGGGGCAAAACCTTGGTGAATATCAAAATGGTTTTGCCAATACCAATCATTTTACTTACTATTGAAAAAACAGGAATAAAACCACTTAAGTTGTGAGGTTGAAGAATTACATATCTGAGGATAGCCAGCCTGAGGATAGCCAGGTTAACATAAGACATCACCTATGCTTTCTGCAACAAGATTCATACAACACTATAAATGATGATCACTAATACTTAGTCTGTACGGAAATAGAGATATGCGCCACTAATTCTCCACCCCATTCAGGACTAAAAGCCATTTATATTAGAGCTAGGTGGACATTGTTCCTCTTGTGAGGACTGTGTGGCCCATATATAATTGGGGGATAACCAGTGGAAACTGCTACAAACAGAACCAATTTCAGTCTTTTCCTTTTAACAAGTCTGTTCTTGCAAGATAAGATGCAGAATGTTTCAGAATTCCTGGGACTGATTATCCCCTCTGGCTTCTTTAAACGGTGCTGTTTTCTTAGGAAGAAGAAGGGCGTGGATGTTGGGGATAACTCCTCCTTCAGGAATGGTCACATTTGTAAACAACTTGTTCAACTCTTCATCATTCCTTATTGCCAGCTGGATATGGCGTGGTCCAATCCGCTTCTTCTTGTTCTGATGAGCAGCATTCCCAGCTAATTCCATGACCTCTGCAGTCAGATATTCCAAGACGGAGGCCAGGTACACTGAGGCTCCTGCACTTATTCTTTCAGCATAACGGCCCTTTCTTAGGTACCGGTGAATTCGGGACACAGCAAACTGCAAGCCAGCTTTTTTAGTCCTGGAGATTTTGGCAGGCTGTGCTGGCTTTGGTTGTTTCTTACCACGCCCAGACATTCTGGTCCTATAAACAAAGATGACTTTTCTTCATTACTTCAATTTAACTCTGCAATTTAACAAACCCTAATAGACTATTCTGCGAACAAACTTAAGCACTAGCCATTAAACATGAATTACATGAGTAAGATTTGGATACACATCCCTGTTATTTCTATATAAGACTGTTAAAGAAGTACTACATTTAAAATAGCACTTCCATTTTTCTATTGAAAAATAATCAAGATAAATGGAACAACTTTGCTATTGATGTTTTCAGGTTCACTCAGTTTGGAAAAATCTGCAAATATTTTCAGAATAACATTAAAAGGCCTCAACTGCACTATAACAAGAATAAATTATTAAGATTTAACTTTAATCCAGCAACTACAGTACAATTTTACAGTGGAACCATTACATAGTCTAGGAATTTACTTTGTAGTTATTTCTGTATAAAACTATGAAATCTCTTGGTTCCATCATCATTATCCACAACACAGTTTATTTGATATTGGCTATTCCCTGCAGATTGTATTTAATTATGGTTTATTGAATAAACCACCATTTGGCACAGTGTATTAAATGGGATACTAAAAAGCAGCAGGTTTCTTTGTATAGTATAAAATATTTAGTTTAGTCTGCTAATTAGTTAGCTGCTACAGAACAGGTTAAATGTTTCTGGCCAATATTGCAACATTTTAAATAAAACATTATCTAGTCCTATTTTTTTTAAAAAATCAACATTCTCTATAATATAAAGCTAACTATACAATATTCTTATTTTATCAGGTAAGCCAAAACCAGGTTTAGTATTTATAACTTAAAAAAAAAAATCTCCAAACTTACTCACTTCTTATATTACTCTCTGTCTTTAGACAGCCAAATACTTTCTTCTTGCTTGAGGCAGATACTGCCTCTTTTTAAACACCTCTATTTATAATTAATTAGTGTGGATTTAAGCAGCTGCATTTACTTCACTATTAATACTAATTTTAATTAAGCTGATTTTTCCTTGGCAACAAAACTACAACTCCCACCCCCTTACAATAGAAAACTTTTTATGGTTAGCAGGATGTTTACCACAATTATTTTCTTTTGAAAATTAATTTCTAGATTAAAGCTGAATTTACACAATACACTAAACTACAAATTAACAAACTCATTTTAGCTTAACATAAATGAAAACTAATCTATATGTTTTCTTGCTTAGTAAATTATGCAAATCCAGAAAACTGGATTTATTGGGAACCTATGGATAAGGGTTCTTTCTAAATTTGGCTACTGGGAAACTGTACCTTAATATTAAGTATATAGAAACCATCTCCTTTCATGAACAGGGTAAATTTTTCCTTAAAAAGGCAATTTTGAGTCATTTATTGCTAATATAGTGTCAGAAGGTATGTTTCCATTAAGACATAATTTTCTCTTAGGTGAGGGGAGTAAAATGTAAGCTAAGAATAGACACACAGACACGACAAGGTATTAGCCAAAAGATCAATATACAGTAAACTTAAGTAAGGTATTTGAGCATCAGTATTGTTTAATTCATACTTGTAAATCCCTGATTTCAATGAGTCACTCTGTTTTATTGATCTCTGAGTAGATAGACGTTTTTGGCTGATCTTGCAGAGCTATCAGAATTCCCTGAATTACACCCCAGGGAATTCTGAGAGTTGAAATTCACATATCTTCAGGTTGCCATCTTGAAGCCTGAGAAATACAATGCTAAATTGAACCACCCATGATATGTAAACATTCAAAAAACTCTGGTCATGGAGGCCTGGAATCTTGCAGCCCAGATCTGCTAGCCTTAGGTTCTCCACATTATAAGATAAGCAAGCTTTAGATATTGGAAATTAAAAAAAATCCCACTTCCTAAAAGAAAACAATGGTAAACTACACTGCTCAAAAAAATAAGTCCACCAATCTTAAAACTGCCAAGTTTGGAGACCCCTTATTTAGTGCCTCGTAAAAGAAGCTCCTCCGGCTGCAACCCCCTCCGTCCCACACACATCTCCTTTCTGCATCGCAGCCTAAACGCTGCCAGACGCCACCCCAGGCAAGGAAAAATGCCCGGATCAAGCCTAATAAGGAGACGTCAGGACGGACAGTGGGCGGGTTAGTTGCGTGTGTGCAACGCCTGCTTGGGTTCGTTCCACTGATCCGCCGGGACGCGCGTGGGGTGCCCGGCTCGATTCGCCGCGATTTGGGCCTTTCAGCGGCAGCAATAGCAGCAAGACCTTCCCTCCAAAATGCAGGTTAGCCCAATTAGACCGTGTTATCTCCCGTGCCTGCCTGCCTGCCTGCCTAATAGGGGCGGGATTTCGAGGGAGGGTTAGCCGCCGGGGAGGCGAGAATCCGGAAGAATAGCTGGCTTAGCTGGATTTGTGCTTCGTGGGTGGGTCGATTTAGCGTTGTATTTCTCGGGCTTGGCAGCCTGGAGATGTGTGAAACTTCAGCGCTCAGAATTCGCCCAGCCTGGGGGAATTCTGGGAATTGAAGTCCACATCTTTACAAATAGCCAAGCTTGAGAAACCCTGGAGCAAACTACACGTGGTGGTGACTCTTCCGCCTGTGTTTCTTTTCGCTTGCTGAGTGTTCGTTCAGCGCATGCTCCGAGACCGCTTTCCCGGGTACTGTGGATGAGTGAATAGAATAGAATTCTTTATTGGCCAAGTGTGATTGCACACACAAGGAATTTGTCTTTGGTGCATATGCTCTCTGTATACATAAAAGAAAAGATAGATTCGTCAAGAATCATCATGTATCAGAGTGGTCAATGTCTGGAATACTCTACCTGACTCTGTGGTTTCTTCCCCAAACCCCAAAAACTTTAACCTTAGACGGTCTACTATTGACCTCACCCCTTTCCTAAGAGGTCTGTAGGCACCAACGTGCCTACTGTCCGTCCTATTGTTTCTTTTTATTTTTCTTATATGTATCCATTTGATGTATTCATAACTATGTTTATACTTACACCTTTTATCTTATAATCACTTGACAAATAAATAAAAATAGGGTACAATAAGCAATCAGATCATACTAGTGTGGAAAGGGAATTTCACGAAGGCAGTAGTATCACAAAAAAACAGGAAAAGCCCAAGGGGAACATCAGGTCAGCCAGAAAACAAACTTACATAGGAAAAGGAATCAAATAAAAAGTATTAAAGAATCCCTACAGACAAAAGCCTAAGTAATTAAGAAAACTAGACAAATAGGAAAAGGAAACAAAAGATAATTTAGAAAACCCTTACAAACACAGGACATACCAATAAGCAAAACAAACAGACAAAAGACACAAAATATAAATTACAAAAGGGACAGACAGGAGATTGCCACAGAACAAATATGAAAAACTATCTTAAACCTAAAAGAGATTACAGAAAACCAATAATACAATCTGGCCACCTTGTGGAGTTTGCCCTCCGGCGGAAATAAAGACAAACTCAAACAGGATTTGAAACAGGCACAAATGCAAACACTCACACAAAATCAACTTACAAAGGGAGAAAAGGGTATAAAAAACCAGGGACTTACCATAAGAAGCTAGCTAGCCCAGGAACGCAGACTTCTTGCTGTTCTCCAGCTTCCTGAAAAATAAAAAGATCCAGCTTTCAAGCAGTTGTCCATATCCTTGCGCCGGAGCTCTCCCAGCGGGAAAATTGAATCCTCGAAAGAAAGGCATTTTGACACCTTTCAACACTAGGAAACTTGTAAAGATACAAGCGACATAGTTACAGTCATACAGTCACAAGTGGGAGGGGATGGGTGATAAGGAGTGATGAGAAGATTAACAGTAATAGTAGGGCAGACTTTGTAAATAGTTGAACAGTGTTGAAGGAATTATTTGTTTAGCAGAGTGATGGGGTTCGGGGGGGTGGGAACGGTTCTTGTGTCTAGTAGTTCTTGTGTCTATAGCGTCGTTTTGAAGGAAGGAGTTGAAACAGTTTATGTCCGGGATGTGAGGGGTTTGTACAGAAGTTAAAGTATGTATTTAAGATCGAAAGAGGATTGAAGATGTTAGCTAGTTTGGATAACGAAACGTCTGCAAGCAAGCAACCAAGCTCAGAGGGCACCAAGGACCCTTCATTTCAACCTGAGCTACAAACACTCTCCTTTCTTAGTATATATTCTTAGGACTATCCTAAGTTCTTGCAATAATTGCTCCCGTGTTTGGAGGAGTAGAAAAAATAAAGCCGGGCTTTGTTTTCGTTTAACTGTTTTTCCTGGTTGTAAATGATAGGGAAGGGAAAAGCTGAAAATTGTAGCCAGACTGTAGATTGCTTGACTAGAGAAGATGGATTGGGTGCCTGAACCCACAAACACCAGTGTCCTCTCAGGGTAATATAATTTTAATCCGACATAATGACTTTAAAGCTGCAAAGTATAATTAGTAAAATTATTACAATTTAAAGCAGGTCTGTTAAACTGGTGGCCCACGGGCTGGATGTGTCACATGCCAGCCACGCTCAACCTGACTTGACAAAGGCAAAAAAAAGTCACGTTATGTCACATGATGTGATCGAGTTTGACACCTGTGCTTTAAAGAAAAGAAGATAGCAACAGAACTTCCCCCACTGTTCCGAGTACTGTTTCTTAATACCGTAAGATAAATTATTTATTATTTAGCAACTTTATATAGTCACCCACCTCACAAATTGACTTTGGGCAGCATACAACAAAACAGATAGTTAAAACAAGTATTAATAACAAGTAAACACAAGTAAACATAAGTAGAAGTTAGACTGTGGGAAAATGATTTAACACTTTATCTGCCTACATAATAAAACATGGGAAGGAAACTTGGAAGGAGACATGAGACCTTTCAGCAAAGTGCTGCTCAGCCATTCAGAGGCTGGGTTTTTTCACATTTTTATTGGTTTATCAAAATATAAAATGCAAAGAAAAGTAGAAAACTAGGGGGGAAGAGAAGGAAAGAAAATATGGAGTAGAGGGGGAAAAAGAAAGAAAAAGACATTGACTTCCATCTCTCTTTAGCACAGTAGAAGATAATTACAACTGTTTACTTTTACACACTAGTACCGTATATACTAGTCGTTTCTGTAGCAAAAACCTATCTAATCAGCAAAAATAAAATCCAAGTTATATTTTTCCCATTGCAAGCACAATATCCAGAAGCAATTTCCAAATAGAAAGAAAATTAAATATATTATCTCCTTTGGATGAAGGAATCAATTTAATCATCTCTGGTTCTCCATGCAGAGTTTATGAGCAGCTCTCTTGAAATTTGCGTTTATTCTTGCATCTGTAATATCTCATCCCAGAATCTTTTGTTATAATACATTTGCTTGTAATTGAAAGTCCAAGAAAGGTTTATTTAATGTCAATTCTTATAAGCCAAAGTACAGCTCTTGTTGCGGCTTAGTGTTTTGCTCAGTCATAAAAGGATGTCCCAGAATTGATTTGTTCTTTTTCTTTTTTGTGTGTTTTCATAGAGTCCTTACTTCCAGTATTATCACTTGAATTTTACTTTATTGAATTTGGCCTGTCAAGAAGGAGAGCATGTGTTAATTTTCTGCTGGTCTCTTGACTCCATAAGAAACACCATGAAGTGATTATACTATTTGATTTCCATCTGTTCCATGCTTAATGCATTTTTTAGCCACTTCTATGATTTTACTGGCATAATGATGGTGTAGTATAGTTGCATACATTGTTGTGTCTTTATTTTCTTCCATATGCAAATGTTTAGATGTTATTGAAATTGGTTGAAAAATATTGCTGTTTTTATATCTTAATTTGTACTATATTTTTACTGGTTTTAGCTATTGGTTGCTTTTCCGTGGTTTTTTTATTTACCTTTTTTGTCTTATGGAAGCAGACTTGGATGTTTACGGGGAAAAAAGTCCCTCTGGCAGGACTTGAAATTCAGTATACACCAGAGATGTTTCTATTAGGAATAATGGAGGGGAATGTAAACAAAGTTGGAACTTATTTAATTATACACATAATTACGGCAGCAAGAATAACATTTGCCCAAAACTGGAAGGCAAGAGAGATTCCAAGTAAAGATGCCTTGATTGGGAAAATATTACAATGCTCCAAATTAGATTGACTTACACTTGAATTGAAGTAGATGAACTAGAATATTATTTAGTTTAGTTTAGTTTACTTTATTGTCATTGCACCTTGTACAACGAAATCAAACACCATCTTCAGTGCACATCATGACCATGAAAATAAACACAAACACACATCCTTTACCCTTCACACATTGAACCGAAAACCCCCGACACCGCACCAACACTGCACTATACAGTATAAAATATGGAACAAATTCTATAAATGGAGGGATATGAAAGGATGTTCATAGATTTAAAATAAATACAGAAGTGTTAAAAAGGAATATAAAGATAATTGAAGAAATGATACACAAAAATGTATATAAATGTATTAACCTTTTTCTTTCTTTATTTCTAACTGTCAAAAGATTGGACAGAAATGTATGTCAAAGAAGAAACACCACATTCACTGTTTTTTAATGTTTATATCTAATAAAAAAAATTTTTTTTAAGTCCTTCTGGGTTCAACTGAATTGTCTCCCTTAAAATAGGATTAGCTTAAATATTTCATTAACCATGCACTGTATCTGTACAGACATGCAAATTGGGTTGTAGACATGGGGTTTGGTATTCCTTCTTGCCAGCAATCCACCATGTTTTTCAAAGGAATCTTCAAATTCTGCAGTAAAGTTGATACAGTCTTAATATGTAGGGAGTCAGAATAAGGTTCTCTGTTGATGATGGTGCTCTTATCATTTTATGTTCTAGGATCCTAATGCAGATACAGAATGGAATGACATCTTGCGTAAAAAAGGCATCCTTCCACCCAAAGAAAAGCTGAAAGAACAAGAACAGGCGGAAGAAGAAAGAGAGCAGCAGATCCTCCAGCAACAATCAGTTGGCAAGCAGTCTTGTTTAGTATGCTGAATTAATATGAAAGTCCTATTATCCAGTTTTCTGGGTTATTTTTCACCTCAAAATATAGGCGCCTTCTCACTGCAAACAAGGGTCTCTGTAACTTCATTGAGCCTTGTGTAAGGCTCATTTTGAGTTTTGGATATCTTGGGTGAAAAGGTTTCAAAATTAATTCTTGTACTTGAAAAGTAAGGATCAGGACTATCTGTGGAGATTCTCGGTCATCTAGGCCTTGATTGCCCCAAAGGTGCTTTTTCAAGAGGCAACTGGACTTTCTGGTTTTTCTTTGAAGACATTTCACTTCTCATCCAAGAAGCTTCTGTCCATCCTTCCATTCCCCACCATCCAGCCAGAGCTGAAGAAGTTTCTTGGATGAGAAGCGAAACATTTTCAAAGAAAAACCAGAAAGTTCAGTTGCCTCTTGAAAAAGCACCTTTGGGATAAGGACCAGGAGAAATATTCAGAACTGTTTGTGTTTCTGATGACTGGTTAAACTCAGTGAATTTCCAACTGCTGTTTACACTATAGGCTGGGATTTAATTCTCAGGACATGTAACTGATAGACTTTGATCTACACTACATATATAATTTTAATGAAATACAGGTAATCCTCAATTTATGACTGTAATTAAGGCCAAAATTACAGTGGTAAGTCATGCTGGTTGTTAAACAGGTCAACATGTAAATCATGCCTGATTTTACATCCTTTTTTGTAATGGTTGTTAAGTGAATACCACAGTTTTTAAGAGAATGCTACAGTCGTTAAATCAATCCATTTTCCACAATTAACCTTTTTTTCTGGAAATAGGAAGTAAATGCCAGTTTTTGGCCAAAAAGGGCAATTTGACTTTGGAAACAACCATAAATGCAGACCAGTTGCCTGAGTGGCCAAAATAGGATCACATGACCAGGCGGGTGATTATTGGAACTTCAAATCCAGATCATACCTAGTCTTGGGGAGGTTTGTTAGAACTTCAAATGGTTGCTAAGCATTTGTAAATGTTGTAAATTGAAGAGTACCTGTATAAAATTAGCAGTGAAGGCACCCTCATTGCATAAATTATTTTTATATACTTCTGGTCTTTTTTTTTTTTAGTAAGACATTTGGCAACTACTATAGATTATGATTTGTTTTTAGGTGAAATAGAACTACCCTATAGATTATAGAAAGTCAGAGAAACTTTGACTGAGAGCTACAAACTACATATGTATATCATTCTGCATTTTTTTTGTAAAAGTCATAGCAATCTTAAAAACATGCCCCTAGGTCAACAGTAATGAATAATCTAGAATTCCAGAGATTCTCTTAGTTGAAAAGGACTTGCTTGCTTACTCATTCGTTTGTTCATTCATGCGTGCATGCATTCAATTTATATGCATCCCATCTCACTCTTGGAGCAACTCTGGGAGGCTTACAAAATGATAAAAATATAAATATAACAACAATTACAATTAATAAGAATTAAATAGAGAATATAAACCAAGGGGATGGATAGCACAGGGATGTAGTCTTCTCTCTTGCCTCATCATCTACCTCCCTTATAGAGTGCCCCCTCTATAATGAATTTCCAAACTTGGCCTGTTTCAAACCAAGGAGAGTAACATTTATGAAATCTGCCTTAGATCAACTAATATAACTGGTAAGGTTGTTCATGAGACTGGAGAGGTGGCCTTAGCATGTGATCAGCAGTAAGGATATTGTTTTTGAATCCATTTGCTTGATTCATGGGGTGCTCTTTTCAGAGTTAAAAATGCTTTTGTTGAGCAAGATTGTGCCCCTTGGCAAGATTTAAAATTGCCTTTCTTATTATACGTCATTTAGAAAAGAAGCAGATGATTGCTGCCTAAAATAAGAATTGGCTCAGTGGGAGCAATAGCCTGATAGCAAATGAATACTCCCAGCAAGTTAGTTGCAGGAACCCAGTTAATGGGATGGCATCATTCTGAGGGCAATAACAATTAGGTTCAAGTCTGTGTAGAAGTGATTCACTTTTCATTTGCAACAAGTTTGTTACAGACATGAACATGTGATGGAGAGAACTGTGCCTAATTTAACAAACCATCATTTTCACAGCATGATCTGTAGCAGGTTTCCCAGCCTTAGCTATTTTAAAATGTGTGGACATCAATTCCCAGAATTCCCAAAACAAGTCCGTAGGTCTTAAAGTTGCTAAGGTTAGAAAACCCTGCTCTGCACTATCCTACTATCCTATTCTATCCTGCACTATCCTATCCTATCCTACTGCAAAGTTTCTTCATGAGATTCACCTATAAGCTCAATAAGCTCACTTGGAAGGATCTTGAAGTTGACTTTCTGTTGCTGCCCTAGTTTTTGGACTGCCTCCCTTGCACAGATAAGGAATCTCGCACAACTATTAACATTTTAAAAAGCTTTTAATTCATTTTTGGTTATTTAAACTATTGGTTAATATAATAATACTGTCTTTTATTGGATTCAGTTGGTGGCTTTGACTTATACCTAGTTTAAATAATATGAGTTAAGAGTGAAATAAATACATAAGATGAGGCGAAGTGCAGTATGTCCACTCCTACTTCCTGGCCCCGTGCTAAATCAGAACTCTAGATCAGGCTTGTCCAACCTGCGGCCCAAGGGCCGCATGCGGCCCAGGTCACCTTGTAATGCGGCCCAGTGCCCACCCCAACCTTTGTGCCAGAGCCAGCGAGGAGGAAGAGGAGAAGCAGGCACGAGGCAGGGCGAGGCGAGTGCCAGGCCAAGCAGCAACAGAAAAAGCAGGCACCGTCAGAGCGCCACCTCCTGCTGTTGCCACTACCGCCATCGCCGCCGCTTCTGCCCCCGCCGCTTCTGCCCCCGCTGCCACTTCTGCCCCTGCCGTCGCTGCCGCTTCTGCCCCCGCCACCTCTGCTTCTGCCCCCGCCACCGCTGCTGCTTCTGCCCCCGCCGCTGCTGCTGCTTCTGCCTTCCAGTCCTGCCTCATCCAGCCGGGCCATTTGCAGGAGGAGAGGTAGGCGCGAGGTGGGCAAGCTTTCTCCCCCACCCCCGCAAAATTTGGCCGGAAAATAAACCATGATAAAAAAAAACGTGATAAAAAAACTGTGATAAAAAATAAATAATTTTTAATAAATAATTAATAATAAAAACATCTCGCTAACTTCATTTCCAAATAAATTTAATATGTTAACTATGTTTTCTATGGTTTTTTTTTTGGATGATCAAGTATCGTTACTGTTATTTTATTTTATGTGCGGCCCAAATCAAATTTTCATCTTCTAATGTGGCCCAGGGAAGGTGAAAGGTTGGACACCCCTGCTCTAGATGGTATGAACTCTAAAGTGCATTCAATAACAGAGAAATAAAATTTTCCTTTAGGGTTTTTTGCAGAGGTTGAAAGAGCAACAGATGGTACAGGAAAAATGCAAGATTATGCTGGCTAAGGGACAAGATTTGGTTCTCTACATGTGTTAGCTGCCTGAGATTTATTAAAAACTCACAAAGAGGACTGTTATTTATTTTTGCCAACACAAAGATGTACAGAGCAAAAATTTTGTCGACTTAACACGCGAGCTGTCTTTAAATGGCTTCTATTCATAAAATTTATATGATTCAAATTCAAAGGAGATCTTTGTGTGTAATTCTGTATTGTCTGTGGTCTGAAATTTGTCCTTTGTAAGAGTTACGAACCTCTCTTTTTTTTACTGGTGACTCTGTATTTCTTCCATATCAGTTAAGACCTATGAAGATATGACTCTGGAGGAACTTGAAGAAAATGAAGATGAATTCAATGAGGAGGATGAACGTGCTATAGAAATGTACAGGTGAGAATATTTTGTTGAATGTGCCATAAATAAAGATATAGTTGTAATTGGAAATCATTGTTGATGTTATAAGGCAGTGGTGGCTAACCTTTTTCGGCTCCTGTGCCAATAATTGCGCACTTGCTTGCTTGTGCACGCTTGTGTGCCAGCACCCAGAAGGCAATGCATGCGCATGCATGTGCCCCTCGCGCACTGCACATTTGCACATGCATGTGTGACTCACATGCCGTGCATGTGTGCATGCATGCATGATTCCCACCTTGTGCACCGTGCGTCTTCGCGCATGCACTCACAATTCCCTCTTGCACTGCACATGTGCGCATGTACGCATGATCCCCTCGCATGCAGCACATCCCTGCGCATGCGCATGTGTCTCCTGTGCACCCCCTCTGCCCCTGCACATGCGCATCAGCTGTCGGGTGGCGGCGCGCGCATGCATGCGCAGTGTGCTCTTCCGGGCGACCTCGTGTGCCGGGGGAAATGGCTCTGCGTGCTATTTCTGGCATGTGTGGCATAGGTTTGCCAACATAATTATAAGGTATGGTAAAGAATTCCGTTTTAGGTCAAGCCTTCCTCTATAACTGATAAAATAACCATTTGTATATAGGTAATCCTTATTTTCAGACTGTCCCAAAGCAATTACAACAATAATGAAAAAGTAAGTGTAGAAACAATCCTTGGAATATAATCTTTGAGGATCTGTAAAGCAAAGGAAAGCTAAAATTGCATTGTAAGTACAGTTGTGGATTCACTTAGCAACTGCCTCAATTGACCAAGTTGCCAGTATGAATTATTGCTAAATGAGAACTTTTTGTATGTACAAATTCACAGAAATACGGCCTGCATAAGGGTAGTTTAGCAGTGAGATCACTGGCACTCAGGTCTGTATAAAGCATTTGAAAAAAGAATGCTTGGCAATATATAGGATTGTGTGTAAACAGCTTGTTTCAAATTCCTGAAACAGCCACATCTTTTGCAAGGATTGTGGGTTGCTTTGGAAATTGTTTCTACCGTCTCTATGTGCACTGAGCAAACTAGCTGTGCATACATATGCCAATGTGTCATAGCATATGATAACAGAGAAGTAGAAAACTCATATCAAATTAATGGGTATTAATATAATAATGAGGATATGTATGATTCACTAAAAACAAATTATATGCATTACTCAAAAATTACGGTACTTTATATTATAGTTAAACCAGTGAAACCCATAAAAAGAAACAGGTATCCTGCATGTGCAATAAATCTTCACTGTAACAGTCACTTTGACAGTGCTTGACACAAATGTTCTTTTAAGAGACAAAATGAATGTTACAGTGAAGTTTTAAAGATATTTGCTCTATAAAAGATGCATTTGAAGCTTCTGCCTCTAAATCAATACTATGATATTGGCATTCACTCAAGAAGAAACCTAACCCCAGTAAATATGTTATGTAGCCAACATCATCTGGGAAATTATATTTCCAAATAAGTAATTGAAATGTTATCATTAAAACAAGAATTAGATAAATTAGAGGGTATTGCAGTAGTGTCCTTCCTTGGGTATAAGCCTCTTTTCAAGTGCAAGTAAGTGAAATGAGATAAATGTTTGCCTGTGCAGTTCATAAATCTTTTAGCTGGATCAGTACAAGTACCAGTTTTTTAGCGCTTCAAAGCACTTGCTCAATTTTTTTAAAGGGCCCAGGCTTGTCTAAAACTGCCAATATTATATAATATATATAATATATATTTTATAAAGTTTTAATAGTGGAATGACAAGAAAGGTCAGATATCTAGGACAGCCTGTGTCAAAGTGAATAATACACGACGGGCATAGAAAACAACTTCCTCACTCTTATAATCTGTAAGATCTGATCTTTCTCTTTTACAGTTTGGGGTTACTGAATCTAAATTATGATATTTAGACAGTTTCAGTCTAGATCCAAAATTAGTGCAGTTGGCGATGAAGACTCCCCTGAATCTAGGGACAAGGTGCACCTGTAGCACCAGTAGTTTTATTTGCTTCATTTTCCTTAATCTGGAGGGTAGTTTTAAATATCCTTTTTTCCATTCTGTACTACCCTTAATATCTATCTATGCCTTGTTTTAATCTCTCAAAAAATATGTATTCTAATTTTCATCTCCCTTATATTTTGATGTAAAAAGGGAAGAACCATAGTTCATGACATAATGTGAGTGGTAAGTCTGATTACTGGGGTTTGTTTAAACATCCACTGTAAAAGCAAACCATAGTTTCAGAGGATAAATGAACTACTGGTAGTTATAAACAAATTGTTATCTTTTAAATACTTGCTTGTAATATTGGGATATAAGCATTGCCCCACATCCATTATAATTGACAATGCTGGGCGAAGCTTGGTGGGTGTGGCAGGGGAAGGATACTGTAAAATCTCCAGTCAGAGGTGGTATTTGCCAGTTCTCCAAACTACAGAAAATTTCTGCTACCGGTTCTCCAGAACTGGTCAGAACCTGCTGAATACCACCTCTGGGTTTATTGCAATGTTACATATTAGATTTCCTGCTAAATATGGCCTGAACAAAGAATGATCACTCTGGCTAGAAATTCTGGGATTAGCAGCCCCAGACATCTGAAGGACCCCGATTGGAGAAAGCTGGCTCTGTTCTGAATAACTAAACATTTTTCTATAAAGAGAAAATTATATATGTATGTATGTATGTACAAATTTCTTTTCTTGATTCTATATTGTGCAGGCAGCAGAGAATAGCTGAATGGAAAGTGTCTCAAGCAAAGAATAAATTTGGACAAGTTTTGGAGATCTCAGGACAGGATTATATTCAGGAAATTACAAAAGCTGGCAAAAATATCTGGGTGATACTGCATCTTTACAAGCAAGGGTAAGCAAGCATTTCAAGGCTTTTTGTCTTCCTGGATAATTTTTCTCTGGTAGATCTGATCATTTGCTTCAGTATGGCAATCATGCTGCTAACTGCTGTCCAAGGAGAGGCATTAAAAGTATAATTTCCCCTTTTATGCCTAATTCAGTTGCAAGTCAAAGAGGTTGCAATAGAGCTTTCTGCTTATCATTGTAATAGTCTTAACTGTGTGGAAATGAGGATAGTTTCCTATTGACCTGAGAGATCCTCTATTGACCTGAGAGATCCTCTTCCCTTCAGTATACAAGTAATTCTCAACTTACAACCATTCATAAAGTTACCATTCGGAATTACAATGGCATTGAAAAATGTGTTTTTTTAATTTATTTTTTATTTAATTTATTATTTATTCACATTATCCCTGTCACAGTGTCTCTTGGTCACGTGATCAAAATTAGTTTGTTTGGCAACTGCCATGTATTCATAATGGCAAAAAAAGCTTGTAAAATCAGGTATGACTCATTTAACCTCCTTGTTTAGCAACAGAAATTCTGGTCCCAATTGTGGTTTTAAGTTGAGGACTACTTTAATAAGCAGTTTAGTGAAACTTGTAGATACAGTACCTACAAGTCATGCTTATTGCCCATTATGGACATTGGTTTTCTTTTGCATATGGGTCTTTGTTCTTCTTTCTTCAAATTTAGTATTCCCCTCTGTTCCTTGATAAACCAACACTTAAGTGGACTTGCCAAGAAGTTCCCGGATGTCAAATTTGTCAAAGCTATTTCTACAACTTGCATACCCAACTATCCTGATAGAAACCTCCCCACAATCTTTGTCTACCTGGAAGGTGACATCAAGGCCCAGTTTATTGGGCCACTGGTATTTGGAAGCATGAATTTGACAAGAGATGGTGAGTATCTATTTTGCAAGAAACAGAATACTTTTCTGCACAGAAAATTGGTTAAGGTAGTCTGACATCAAACTTCAGTGTGTTCTTATTTTCCTTCCTTAAATAATGTCCATATCAAAAAGTTAAGGATGCAAAAAGAAATCTCTTAAGTAAAAGAGATTTTGTTTTTTTTTGAGATAGTGGTCCTCTCTTCCTTCTGCTTTACCAGTTACTAGATATGTGTTCTTATATTTCCTATCAATTGAAGCTGTGCTGAACTGGCGTGGATAAATGCTTAACTAGTTTTTAAAATTGATTGAGTTTAATCTTAAATAATAAAAAAATGTTCCTTTTCTCAGAAGCTCAGATTGCATCAACATAGTAGGCAAGACTTGTTATATTTGGCACATCTTGGCAATTGTGTCATTGTGCTTTTTTGTAGGAGGAAAACTCTGACTATTAACATCAGTCCTTTTCTAGTACATGTTAGATAAACTGTATTATACAAGCAAAATGAACATACGTTTCTAGCATTGAAATAGGAATGAGTGCTTCCCCCTTAATGTTATCTACTTCATTTTGTTATTGTATCCCCCCCCCAGTTGTTTAGTCACTTTAATCATCATATCTGTAGAACTACCCCTAATATGGCCTCCTCCAATAGGAAGTCCCAGCATGTTCTATAGGCATGAAATGAAATTAAGCCCCTCCCCCCAAATTAAGGCCTATATTAAAACATGCGAAATGAGGGGGAATGGTGGTGGGGGCTTGCCATTAGGAAGTACTTTTGTTGCACACCCGGATATGGTGCTGCCTGCATTGACCCCGATACGAAGTGCCCCACCAATGCCGAGGTCAACATCCAAGCCATTGCCGCCCGCCCGCCTGAAGATGCAAGGGGGGGAATTAAGTCACCCCCAAAAAAGACGGCCTAGCCATTTTTTCAGGGCTCAAAAAAAAAAAAAGACCTGGCCTTATTATATGAAAAACACGGTAGTCTGAGTAGAAAATCCAGATCATGCTAATTTTCCTTTTAAGCTAACATAAATGAGATTGACTGATTAGGTTGCCCACAGAGTTAACAGTATGATATCTGATTAACTTGTACTATTGACTTGCTTCCATTTCTGGGATGTAAGCCAGTGTGAACATGTGCAATAAAAACCTGCTGCTACATGGAAGATGTCTGTTTTGTTGCTGTAAAGAAATAAGCAGGGGATTGGGTGTTTATGTCTTTGAGCTCTGCAAAAGATGCCAAACAGTAGTCGCAGTTCCAAATAAATTACAAACAAGATAAAGGAAGTGAGATGAAGTGTCCATTCTTGGCTAGCTGTAGCATGCCAGTTAATGTCCCAAAGGCTGCTTCAAGGAGTTTGTGTAGAACTTAAGCACTATAGTAAAAGTGAAAAAGAAAACAACAGATGGAATTGTTCAGAGGGAGAAGGAACATGGTGATACTTTATTCTTTCCAACTTCACAAGGCATTCACAATGTGTCATTTCTCCCTGTTGTTTATCTCTTACATTTAGAATTAGAATGGAAAATTTCTGAGTCAGGTGCCATTAAGACAGACCTGGAAGAGAACCCCAGGAAACAAATTCAAGACCAGCTGATGACGTCCATCAAGTGCTCTGTTCCAACAAAGAGAGAAGAAAGTGACTCAGAGGAGAATTAAGGCCTCATGCGCAGCTCTTTGCTGTGCTCAATTACTCAGAATTACTCTTCAATGAAACCAGAAGATTTATTGCTATAAAATAATGTGTTTTTATTTCAGCCTAACGAATATCAGTGGTGGTATTCTTTCTTGAAAAAGAAACTTTCATTATTCATACAGGAATAAAGTAAAAGCAATTTTTAAAGTTGACATGCCATTCAAATCACTTGTGATGGACATTTGACTTACAAATGTGGTATATACTCTTACCACTAACTGTGGTGTACGCTCCCCTGTGTTGCAGTGTCACTTTAGGACTTGATAAAAATTGTATGATAAATTTTGGAAGTGCTAGATTGATGGCTGTAGGCCTGTATTGATCAGATTAAGGTAACCTGTAGTAGGTTACTATTAACACAAAATTATCTAAATCAGTGGGTTTGTCTGCATATTTGTTTAAAAATCTTGAAATCAGATCAAGTACAAGTAGTCCTCAACTTACAACTATTCATTTAGTGACTGTTTGAAATTGCAATGGCACTGAAAAAACGTATGACTTATGACTAGTTTTCACATGACCGTTGTAGCATCTCCAGGCCAGGTGATCAAAATTGGGGCACTTGGCAACTGGCATTTATTTATGAGAGTTGCATTGTCCCAGGGCCATGTAATCAATTTTTGTAAAGTTCCCAGCTGGCTTCTCACGAGCAAAGTCAATGGGATAAACTAGATTCACTTAACAACCATATGATTCACTTAACAACTATCAACATTCTTAGCTGAATTATTGTTGTAAGTAGAGAACTATCTGTAAAGGAAATACAGAACAATTTGGAATAAAAATTGAGTCTGTTCCTCCTCTCTTGTATTCATGAGTTAGACTTAATTTATAACAACTGTAACTATACTTGATGGGTCATTAAAAATGCAATGAATTTATATTGTACAATGCATTATCTCTTCAACGTTTTGATATTTAAGTTATAATGGTCAAAAGAAATATGCAGAAAACATTGGCTTGGATGATTTCAGACTAGAAGTTCAATAATATGAATATTCACTGTTGCACTTTTGTAAATAACCTTGAATTTACATTATCTATAAATTTTAAGTGTAATTTTTTTGTTTATTGGTAAAACAAACATACTGAGGTATTTAAATCCTGTCTCCTATACTGAAAGAACTTACTTACACTTTGTATACCGGTAAAAAAAAAACCAGGGGAGACACGATAGCAGTTCCAATATTTGATGGGCTGCCATAAAGAGGATGGGGTGTGTGTCTGTCAACCTATTTCCCAAAGCATCCGAAGGCAAGACAAGAAGCAATGGATGAAAACTAATCAAAGAGAGATCCAACCTAAAAGTAAGGAGAAATTTCCTAGCAGAACAATCAACCAGCGAACACCTTGTCTTTAGAAGTTGTGGGTGCTCCATCACTGGAGGTTTTTAAGAGGAGACTGAACAGTATTTAAGAGGAGACTGACTGTCTGAAACGGTATAGGGCTTGACCAGGGGGTTGGACTAGAATACCTGCAAGGTCCCTTCCAACTCTGATATTCTTTGTCCTAAACCTCAAGAATTAATTACTCGCTGATAACATACACGTTGTATCCAACAGACATCAGCTTAAATGCATGTGTTCAGTTTACAGATTCATCATATTTTTCATTTTTTGCTTGAAACTTGGTTGGATTTCAGACTGCTTGATCTGGGCTAATCAACAGATTTTATAATACCTTGAATAACAAAGATATAACCAAGATTGCACAAATCCCTCTGTGAAAAAGACTAAGTTCAGCCCTCTCTGATCTCAAATGGACAGTTAAATAGAGCAAAACAATTAATTTGGACAACATTATTTCAGCCTTATAATGTAGTGGCTAGCAAGTATGTTATCGGAAATCCCTGTGTAGGGCTGGTTAGGGATCAAATTTTAACTTACATTCTCAGCCAATATCCCAGATTTATTGCTTAACTAATATTTTCACAACCCATTGTAGAGTCAGAAGAAAAGTTGTAGATTTGGAACTGTTTTATATATAGATTCCAAGTCAAGGCCTGAAGGTTGTGGGAATCTGGATAGGGAAGAACAGAGTCAAACTCAACCTTAGCAATTCCAAGTGCATTGTAATCATGACCACCTCATCTGGAGGTCCATCTTATTTGTAAATGGGATCCAGACAATCAAGTGCATAATTTGCGCCCCCCCTTCCCCCCGATGAACAAGTCCTAACTGAACAGCAGATGGCTGCCATTTATTGGAGGACCTTGAATCCAGATTTCCACAAATCTGCACATTCCTGGCTTAGGAAGTCTGGGTTATTGCAATTCACTTTTGGTGGTGCATTTGAAGAACACTTGGAAGCTATAGTTGGTCCAGATTGCAGGAATATAGGTGTCCGTGTAATACTACTACTTCACAAGTTGGCCTGGTCACTAATTTATTTCCAGGTGATTTCAAGCTATTGGTTATTACAATATAATGTCCTTCAAGACACGGAGTGGTTATTTCCTGGACCTATTTCTGATTATCTCTGCCCATCCATAGGATATAACAACTGCACACTCTAGGTCCCTGTCCCTTAGGGTATGTCATCATCTGAGATTTGTTACCCTGAGTTATCTATCTGAATCATGTCTAGATCTGGCTGGGGAATTCTGGGAGTTGAAGTCTATCCATCTTAAGTTGTTAAGGTTGAAAAATACTGCTCTAGAGAGTGACTACTGTATGTAAATTGACTAAATAATAAAACCCTTTGAGTGTTCAGTTTAATATTAGCACAGCTTTTCAGTACTTGTATGTTGCAGTTATGAACATGAGAACGTTCCTCTGCATTAGACTAGATTCCTCTAATTCAGATTCCTAATCCAGGAATTCTTAATCCAGGTGTTTATGTATATGTACCACCACACATATGGCAGGTTCTGGGGAACCAGTTCAATAGGAAGAATAGATTTACACCAGAGCTGGTATTCAGCAGGTTCTGACCAATTCTAGAGAACCGATAGCGGAAATTTTGAGTAGTTTGGAGAACTGGCAAATACCATCTCTGGCTGGCGATTTTACAGTATTCTTCCCATGCCACACCCACCAAGCCACACCCATAGAACCGGTAGTAAAAACATTTGAATCCCACCCCTGATTTACACCATCAACATGTATGCCTTGTTAGCCATCAAATACCTGGTATAGTGAGCTGTATGGGTTAGAGTCTCCCCAAATGTGAAATGTACCACAGAAAGTAATGGAGAATACAAGGCTATGATCCTGTGGGATTTCCAAATCCAGAAGGAAAAGCGGTTATTGGCCAATTGTGATATTGGACATAGTAGTAATAGACAAGGGTTAGAAGATAGCAGCGGTACCAAGTGACAGCATGATCAGGAAGAAGTATGAAAAGCTGGAGAAGTTCTAGGGCCTGAAGGAAGATCTAGAGGATGTGAAATGTAAAGACCAAGGTAGTCCCAGTGGTGGTAGGAGCACTCATGAGCTGGGAGAGTGGCCCCAACAAATCCCAGGAACAGAGCTCTGTCCAGAAGAGAGTGCAGTGCTAGGAACAGCTAAGATCCTGCAAGAACCCTCAAACTCCCAGGCCTTGGTAGAGGACTTGACACTGAGAGAAACATAAACCACCCATTGTGTATGTGTGTCTATGTGCGTGTCCATGGAATACATGACAGTTAAAAACATTTCACCTGTCTCATGTGAAAAGGCTTTTGAATTATCTCTGGCCATAGTGAAGAAATATTGAAGAAATTAGGTATGCCTGAAGATGGCACTATTTACCACAGAAAGTCCATTGTCCTCTTGAAACAATCCTGGGGATATTTATTAGATAATAGACTTTCTGCAGTTGCCAAGTTGGCATACAGTAGTGACAGGCAATGACTAGTCTCTATTCTGTGTCTGTTGCTTATGCTCCAAGTAATCACCCATTACTTTCTATCCAATGTAATGGATAACAAAGCTTAACGGATTCTGTATACCCTTGGATGGTGTTGGAATAACGAGGAAAATACTATAATGCTAGAGAGAGTTAAGGCCTACTTATGTCTGTCTCATTTTTTGGCTGGGTTTGTGTGAGATGAAAGTAACATTGTGGGGACATAGCAGAAAATGGGTTGGTAGGCCATATTTGTGTCATGGTTAAGTGCATATGGGCAAAGATATAAATAGTTAACATATCTGACATTAATTTTCAGCAGTTCATGATTCAGGATTTTTAAAAAGTTGTATATCAGAAAATTCAGTGCTCAGTAATGAGTATTGTTCAGGATGCTTTGCAATGTTTTTTTCAATAATTAGTAAGTACCCATGAATGTAAGATTCAGCTTATAAACTGATAATGATATCAAATTTTAAATTGTTGCATACTTAAAACATGAATATGAACTTAGGGAGAGACTTAGGAATCATTTTTCTTAGAATATTTTTATAGAATTTTTAACGATCCCTGAACCTTTTTTGAACTCTTAGACCTCTTATTTATATAGAACATTATTTTATTTGCTGCGGTGTTCAATATGTATCATTGGCAGGTATTTTCCACCTCGATCAACCCAGGAGAAAATTTAAAAAATCAGGATGGCACTAATTTTCAATAATTTTTTATGTTCAGCCAGTGTAGCACTTGACTTTGCAAATAGTTGGCTTTCTTCCCAAAGGTTTAATTAGAGTCTTTGCTCACCAAGGCTGATAGCTATTCAGACAGGGATGGATTTTCTCATAGGGACACCATGAAGTGTATGATTGGTAGAAGAACACTACATTTTTTCTAGCAAAATAGGAGGAGCAAAGTGTCACATTTTTCATACTGGCCATGGCCCTGATCGGAGTTGGATTTTCCTAACATTTAAAAGGGGGAAATGAAATCCTATGATACAGGTCTGCAATTCCAATTGCAAGCCATGACAGTTGTTAAGGGAGGTCATCACATGACCATGGTTAACTTTCACAGCAGTCATGAAGCAAACCCCACATTAAGTGGACCAACGTTCGCTAAAGTTTTTTGTTCTTGTTTTTGCCAGAAAGCAGAAGTAAACTGTTTCCAGCAAAAATAAATTGTGATTACATAACTGTGGGAAAACTAAAAGCAGCCAAAAACACAGGCTATTTGAAAGCACCCGAAATGCAGCCTTGTGATCTTATGGGGAGGGGTGGCCATAGAAACTCCCTGGATGATTTTGGGTCAATAATTCTTCCTCATTTCCAACTCTTTCCCCTGCTTTTGAGAGTAAATAAAGAGTAGGAACACTATGTATATTGCCTTATTCTGAATGAAATGCAAGATAGAAGATACATGAATGAGAGAAGAGAGAGAGAGAGAAAGTCAGACAGACAGATGGACACAGACAGAATAAATCTTTTAAGTTTGTAGTAAATTGCATTGGGCCTTCTGCAGAAATATTTTGGCTATAGATATTTGTAGTGATGGCTACCTGCTTTATTCAGATTTTAATTCTTTCGTGGCAGAAAAAAGAGGGTATCACAAATGGAAAAGTGGACTTGTGAGAAGGAAAATGAGTCCATGAC